GATAAACATAAGAAAGGACCCCCAAAAATGACACTAAGGAACTTGGATCTTACTCCAACTTTAGCAAAAAGCCACTACCATCAGACTACCAGAATTTGCCTGAGAAAATAACCACTGTGTAGAGAACAGAGGACATCTGAAGAGAATGCTAGAAAGGTGTGATGATGGGCAACAATAGTGGGCAGATTCACTATTAGAATCTGTATTAAACTTGTTCCCTTCTTACCATTTCTATCCTTGGGCAAGTTACTCTTTGAGCCTTTGCAAGGCTTGTAAAACCTTAAGGCACTAAAAATACACAAAAAATTATTATGACAGTACTTTGGTAATGAAACATACTCAATAAGTTCAGTCTATCTTCCTTTCCTTTCCCCCTATACAAATAGTACTGAAATGTAACTTTCAACACAGTCCAAGTAGAATCATATATAAGTACTGCATTGAGTTCATCAAGAGGCAAGTTCCTGAGCTGGGAAGGTGGCTCAGTGGCAGAGTGCCTTGCATGCATGAGGCCCTGGGTTCAATTCCTCAGCACCACATACGCAGAAAAAGCTGGAAGTGGTGCTGTGGCTCAAGTGGTAAAGCACTAGCCTTGAGCTGAAGAGCTGAGGGACGGTGCCCAGGCCCAGAGTTCAGGCCCCATGACCAGAAAAAAAAAAAAAAAAAAAGAGGAAAGTTCCTGTTTCTCATAGAACTTGCATTATAATTACTCATACACAATGAACAGTGTTTTCTCAAATTAATAAATGTAGTTTACACTACATGCATCATTTTGCTTCCTCAGTGTATGAGTAAAAATATCATGTGATTAATCCTAGTTACTTGGGAGGCTGAGAAAGGGAGTATCATGGTTTGAGGCCAACACAGGCAAAAATTTCACAATCATCTTATCTCAGGCAGGTGGTACACACCTGTCATCAGGAAGCACAAACAGGAGGATTCAGACCCAAGATAGCCCAGGCAAACAGAGAGACTCTTTGAAAACTGATGAAAGCAAAAGGGCCTGGGAACCTACATGGTTTATGTGGTAGAGTGGCTACTTAGCAAGCATAAAGCCTGAGTTCCAACTCCACTACCACCAAAAAAAGGAGGAGGGAATACAAATATTATCACCAACTTTGTGTTTAAAAAGGAACACACAGCTTCAAATTAAAGACTTAAATCTCTAAAACAGAAGGTGTAAGGGCTGGGAAGATGGCTCAGTTGTAGAGTGCTTGCCTCGCATGCATGAGGCCCTGGGTTGGATTCCTCAGCACCACATAAGCAGAAAAAGTCAGAAGTGGCACTGCAGCTCAAGTGGTAGAGTTCTAGCTTGAGCTGAAGAGCTGAAGGATGCCTGGGCCCAGAGTCCAAGTCCCATGACTGACAAAAGAATAAGTAAAATAAAATAAATAAAATAGAAAGTGAGAGAGAACAGAAGGATCACAATTCAATGCCAGCCCAGGCAGAGAAGTTCCTAAGATCTATTTTAACTGATAGCTGGACACACACGGTGCAAGCCTGTCATCCCAAGCTATGTGGAGGCTGAGTCTAGGAGGAGCGCAGGTGCAGGTCAGGGAAGAAATGTCTACAAGACTCTGTCTCTATAATAAAGGGAGCTGAACTGAATGCAGTAGTAAATGCCTGTAATGCTAGCAACAACTGTAAGTCCCAAAGTCCCAAATCTCAGCTCACATACAAGCCCTGACTAGAAGCAAGAATCTATCCTAAAAATAACCTATGTGCTGGGCGCCAGTGGCTCACACTTGTAATCCTAGCTACTCAGGAGGCTGAGAGCTGAGGATCATGGTTCAAAGCAGCCCGGGCAGGAAAGGCCGTGAGACTCCTATCTCCTCCACTCAACACCAGAAAGCTGGAAGCAGCGCTGTGGCTCAAATGGTAGAGTGCTTGCCTTGAGCTGAAGAGCTGAGGGACAGAGGCCAAGCCCAGAGTTCAAGCCCCCTGACCGATAAAAAAAAAATAATAATAATAATCTATGTAAAACACAGCTGGACACGGCTCAGCAGGATTGGGCCAGTCTTGGCTCATACCTGTAATCTTAGTTACTCAGGAGGCTGAGATCTGAGGATTGAGGTTCAAAGACAGTCTGAACAGGAAAGTACATGAAACTCTATCTCTAATTAACCACCAGAAGTGGAGCTGTGCCTCAAAGTGTTAGAGCACTATCCTTCAGCAAAAATAACCCTAACAACAGCACACCCAGGCCCAAGCCCATGATTGAACCAAAAAAAAAAAAAGTCTCACAGACTTTGCTGTTCAGGCTGGCTTTGAACTACAACCCTCAGATCTCAGCCTTCTGAGTATCTGGAATTACAGTCATAAGCCACCAGCACCCAGCTTCCATGAGACTTTTATCTCCAATTAATTACCAAAAAATCCGGAAGTAGAACTGTGGCTCAAGTGGTAGAGTGAGGGCCATAGGCATTAAAGATCAGAGACAGAGAGGCCAGGTCATGAGAAGCCCCAGTATCACACACACAAAAAAAGATTCTAGTGTTACTACAAACTATTTTATCTGTACTTAGGAATAGCATTCCCCATTCTTATAGTTAATCACAGAAAATGAAATTATCAAAAGCACTCTTTTACAAGTACATGGACTAGACAGAAACTCGCTTGGTTTCTGTAACTTGTCCTTGTACTTAACATCTCAACAAAAGACGAACCATTTGAAAATTTACTAGCATTCGCTCAAAGTCTATGTGCGAGACAAAGTGCTGTACCGAAGAGGACAAAGGTATTACACAAAGTTGTTATATCAAGGAGTTTAGTGAGACTTGTATTTACTTTTTTTTTTAAAAAAAAGGAGAAAAGGAAGCCAGATTTGCTAGGCAGGACTCTACAACTAGAGTCATGCCCCCCAACCCTTTTTGATTTTTTTAGCTATCTTTTAAATTTTTTCCTTGAGGTTAGGTTGGGTCACAATACTGACAAGACCCAGGCCTTGCCTCTTGGGTAGCTTGCCAACTTTGTTGTGATGGGGGGTTGCTAACTTTCTTCCCAGGCTGGCCTAGAACCAAGATCCTTCTAATGCCTCCTCCAGTAAATCTGGAGTTACAGGGATGCACTGTCACGCCCAGATGCTTTCCTAGTTCTTGACCACTGTGCTTCCTGCTTTTTTCAAGGTCCTCAGTACAGTAACAACAGCAAAGTGAGGATTCAGCTGGGAGTCCTCATGGAGGACTCCAGGGAGTTACTGAGAGATATGACAGGTTCACCTTTATCTTCATTTCTTACTGTCCACAAGGCTTGAAGGCTGGGAAGGTGGCTCAGTGGTAGAGTACTTGCCTTGCATGCACAAGGCCCTGGGTTTGATTCCTCAGCACCACATAAGCAGAAAAAGCCAGAAGTGGCGCTGTGGCTCAAGTGGTAGAGTGCTAGCTTTGAGTTGAAGAGTGGAGGGACAGTGTCCTGGCCCAGAGTTCAGGCCCCAAAACCGACCAAAAAAAAAAAAAAAAAGGCTTGAAATGTAATCTGTGTTCCATACCATCTGCCACTGAGATGCTGTTTAAAACTATCAAATTAGTTTATCCTTTTAAAACACATGTTCAGTCATAACTGTTATCTTCTCTTTGAGACTGTGCAGATATCACTGAAGTTTCTCTTCTGACTTAATCATCTTTCAACATCAACCCTCTTTTCCTATGTGAAGACACATGAATTCTTGTCTTATAACCATTCTTTATCTTCAAATATCTGTTTCCTTTATGCTTGCCTATGATAAGCATAATTAAGCATAATAAGAATTTAATTTTGGCACTTCACAGTAAAATACAACACTAGTTTGTCAAGTACTCTGGTAAAGAAAGGTATTCATTTAATCTTTACAACCTGTGATAAAGGAAATCCACCTATTTTACAGATAAGGGAAAAGGAATGAAGAACTCACTATCCTGTCCAGTTATAAAGCAAACAGTCAGTCCAGTCAGTGTCCAGTGAAGGGGCTGGATCTCCAAACCAGCTCTTCCAAATTCAAACGCCATGACTCTTCCATTCAGTTATGCTGTTTTCGAAGAAGGCAAAGTCTACAATTGTGTCCCAAACCACACATGCTTCAAAGAATGAAGCATCTTTAAATCACCACTCTAGATTGCAACTAGTTTCCCATTCCCACTCTACAATCTTCTACTGCTTCTTCCCTCTACGCTCTTCCCTTACGTACCTTCGTCCTCTGCAAGAGAGCATCTTTACACCCCTCTTTCCTCGCCATCGAACTCTTCCTTCCAGAGATCTGTTGTCACCCCACAAACTGCAAATATGCTCCCCAGTCCTACTCAATAACTTCCCAAGTCCCACAGAGGACGCCCAAACTTGCAGATCCTCCACCTCCGTAATTGGCCCAGGGCACCCGACCTCTTTAATTCCTAGGAGCAGAGTACAGACCTATGCCATGCCTTCCTTTTCCAAAATGAGGAGATCCAAGGAGGCTCCCCTGCCTGGCTCCTGGGGCCTCAGCCCACCTTGCCAGCTCTGCCTTAGCTCATGCTGGAGCTAAGCAGCACCCCCCATGGTGGTGGAGTAGAAACCGTGGCTCCACTCTCCACTTGGAAGTTCTGCCTCTGATCACCTGTTCTCACCAGACCTTCCAGCCCAGTAGTGACCCACCTTTGCCCTGGTCTGCCTCTCTCCACCCTTCCGAGTCCTCCTGCCCCAGGCGTCACCCCTACAGGTCAGTTCCGGGGTGCTCGTCGGAGTCAACTTCCCAACGACAGGGATTCTCACTCTCGGGGGGGGGGGGGTCCAAGAGCCCCTTCCTTCTCCATCACCTGCTCCGCCCATGGCTGCATGACATCCGTCACCGCCACCTCCATCCCCCTTCCCTCTTTGGACGCGGGTCTCCTCGGCCGTTCACTGCTGTCCCCTCCGCTGGGTGCCAAGGGGGCGTGCACCCCCCCCCCGGTCCCACAAACCCCCAGCACGCACCTGTTCCTCCGCACCCCCCCCCCGCACCCGCGGGCCCCCGGCCCCCGCCCCGCGGCCTCCCGGGGCCCCGCACTCACCAGGAGTAGGTCTGCTCCGCCATGGCGCTGCCTCCCGGGGGCCCCGCGGCAGGCTGGGGCCGGGCCCCGCGGCGGCGGGCTCCCTCAGGCCGAGCAGCGGAAGGCGCGGCCGAGGCCCGGCGCTCGCTGGCTGGCACCGCAGACCGGCAGGCGGGCGGACGGGCGGACGGACGGACGGACGGAACGAGGAGAGGCCGGGCTCCGAGGCGGCCCCGCTCCCTGGGCCCCGGGGCGGGGCGGGCTCCGCTCTCGGGCCTCCCTCACCCGCGGCGGCGGCGGCGGCTCCGCTGCGGCTCTGAACCCAACATGGCGGCGGCGGCGGCGGCGCGGAGAACAAGGGGGCCCTGGGGCGGGCGAACGGCAAGAAGGGCCCGCGCTCAGGGCGCGCCGGGCCGCGGGAACGCCGTACTCGGGCGGCGGCGGCGGCGGCCCGGGGACATGGCCGGCGGGCGGAGGCGGCGGCGGCGGCGGGAGCTGAGGGGGGCGCTAGGCGGCGAGGCGAGGCCGCTCGGATCACACCCGCCGAGGGAGGAGGCAGGAGGGAGGGGGCGGGACGAGCCTGGGCCCGCGCGAGTCACGTGCCCAAAACACTGTCACGTGACGCGCGGCCCGCCCCTCGCGCGCGGCCCCTGCGCGGAGACGTCGGCTGTGGGGTTCGAGGCAACCGTGGCTGGCGCAGCCGCTGGCTGTTGAGCGGCGTCCCGCCGCCGCGAGCCGCTCCCCCCGCCCCCAAAACTCCCGCCCCCTCCCGAGGGGGGCGGGGGGCTGCTTCCACAGCCAATCAGAAGCCTCGGTGCACGTTCTCGCTGGCTGCCATTCAGCTGTCAGGCTTCAATCAACCATCTGCAGCTGGCCGCGGGTCCTCAACTGTCAGTCAAAGCTGTCCATCAGCGGGCCGAGCGCAGCATTCTTTCATTCCCACGTTGATTTCTTCGTGGCTTTTTTTTTTTTTTGAGCAAATATTCTGTGCAGCAAAACTTTATTGCGCCTAGGCTCGGTGCCAAATCAAATATCCTAGGTTTGCCTTCATTTAGCCAATCAACAGATACTTAGTGGTGACAACTATGTCAGTTCATTCAGCTGAGGGTCTGGGAAGGTGGCTCAGGGGTAGAGCACTTGCCTTGCATGCCTGGGGCCCTGGGTTCGATTCCTCAGCACCACGTAAGCAAAAAGAAAAAAGCCGGAGTGGTGCTGTGGCTCAAGTGGTAGAGAGCTAGCCTTGAACTGAAGAGCTGAGGGACAGCGCCCAGGCCCAGAGTTCAGGCCCCACGACCAGACCAAAAAAAAAAAAAATTCATTCAGCTGAGTGTTGCCCTCCAGGTAGAGGGAGAGACATGGATGCCCCAGGCCGAGAGCCCAATAAAAGGAGACCATTTCAGAGGCTGCTAAGTTTTATGAAGATAACACAAGATAATCAGAGTGCAATGCCAAGGAGGACACAGGCTGGCCCTACTAAGACACAGAGGAGGGCAAGATCAAGAATAATAGGCCCAGGCTGGGCGCTGGTGGCCCACGCCTGTAATCCTAGCTACTCAGGAGGCTGAGATCTGAGGATCAGGGTTCAAAGCCAGCCGGGGCAGGAAAGTCTGTGAGACTCTTAGCTCCAATAAACCACTAGAAAACCGGAAGTGGCACTGTGGCTCAAGTGGTAGAGAGCTTGTCTTGAGCTGTAAGAGCTGAGGGACATCATTCAGGCCCAGAGTTCAAGCCCCACAACCAAAAAAAAAAAAAAAGCTAAGGGACAGCACCGAAGCCCTGAGTTCAAACACCAATACAGGAGGGGGGTGGAATAGGAGAGAATATTCTAGCAAGAGGGTGGCATATGCTAAGGCCTATACATAGCAAAGTTCAGGATGAGCTTGGTCAGGCCTGTGGTGAATGACTTGTGGGTTGTTGGCTGAGCATTAGTAGCTCACATCTGTAATCCTAGCTACTTGAGATCTGAGAATCATGGTTAAAAGCCAGTGTGAGGTGCTGGGAAGGTAGTTCAGCGGTAGCATGCTTGCCTTGCATGCATGAGGCCCTGGGTTCAATTCCTCAGCACTCCATAAAGAGAAGAAGCCGGAAGTGGTGCTGTGGCTCAAGTGGTAGAGCGCTAGCCTTGAGCTGAAGAGCTGAGGGACAGTACCCAGGGCTAGAGTTTAGGCCCCACAGCCTACAACAACAAAAAAGCCAGTCTGAGCAGGAAAGAAAGTCTGTGAGACTCTTATCTCCACTAGACTATCAAAAAAAAAAAAAAAAAAGCCAAAAGTGGAGCTGTGGCTCTAGTGGTGGAGCACTAGCCTTGAGCAAAAGAAGTTTAGGGGCAACAAGCCCCAGGGCTAACACACACAAACACAAACACACACACACACACACACACACACACACGTGCATTGAGGACCTAGCTAGGCCTCACTGCAAAGTATTATGTTTATAAATTAAAATGACCACATTTGGAGGAACATTCTCAGGCAATAGACACTATAGTCTCCTTAGTTTCCCTGCCCCCTTCTTCACAAAGAGCAAAGCTTTCACACCTGAAACTGACATATCCAGGCTCCTTTGCACTTTTCCCAACATGAAGCCAAGTCCTAGCTCTGATCCAGTTTCTCAGGGCCTTCCCAGCTTTACAGAGAACACCACACCCTGAATCTATCTTCAAATGGATCAGTTGGCCATTGCCCATACAACTACTGCTTGCCTATTTCCCTTGGGGAAAGCTTTCATGAGAAAGCCAAGTACATTTTTCCTCTAGAAGCAAGCTCTCTGTCTTCCTCTTTTCCTCATTGCCAGGTGCCAAGACTAGTCAGGGTCCATGTACTTCCTCTGAAACTCCACCAGAGAACGTGGGGAAAGGACCGGCTGATACGATCAAGCAGCCACTCACAAAAAACAGCCCATTCACAGAGATACCAGTATTCAAGTACCTGTCCAGCTATAAATCCCACCAGACATTACAGAGAGTTGAGAAGGCCTAAATAATGTGTGTGCACTTGCACATGTGTGTGATCATGGGGGACTAGGGATTGAACTCAAAGCCTCACCCTTTCTATGCAAATCCTCTACACCTTCCCTTGTGTTTATATTTAGTTTTAAAGATAAGGGGCTTAATAACATTTCCAGGGCTGGCCTTGAATCTAGTATCCTCCTTCCTGAGTAGCTGGAATTACAGGTGTGACCACCAAGGTCATCCTAAATTCTTGACTTTTTTTTTTTTTTTTGAATTCTTACAGTTTTGCCAGCTGCAGTTACAGAATGTCATCTGTGTCCTTAAACAAGACATGCAGCCACACTACACCTCAAAGGAGTGGGACTGAGACTTCAGGTCCCATGGGAAAGGCGTGAGCAGGAATGGCTTAGGGAGAGTGCAGAAGCTCAGAAGCTCGTTCTCTGGGGAACTAAGAACAAAACAGATCAGAGGTGTCTCTAATGAAACAAAAATGACATACGGTGCCTTTGGGCAAATCACTTGGGCTTGGGTTCCCAGTGAGTCATCAAAGACTAAGCCAAGTTGACATTTAGGGTTGGGTGAATGGACCTGGAGTGGTGGAGAAACAAAAATCAAGGCTTTTTGTCAGATGGGAAGGCCAATCTATCCAGAGAGAAAACACTGCTGGAAGAGAAGAAAGACAACACTGGTAGTTCATTCCTCGCTAGGGAGGAGGCTGAGATCTGACAATCACAGTTCCAAGCCAGCCTAGGCTGGGAAATCTGTAGAAACTCTTATTTCTAGTTACTCACCAAACAGCTGGAAGTAGAGTTGTGGCTCAAGAGGTAGAGCACCAGCTTTGGGTGAGAAAGCTAAAGGACAGGAAGGAAGGAAGGAAGGAAGGAAGGAAGGAAGGAAGGAAGGAAGGAAGGAAGGAAGGAAGGAAGGAAGGAAGGAGGGAAGGAAGGAAGGAAGGAAGGAGGGAAAGTAAGGGAAGGGAAGGGAAGGGAAAGGAAGGGGAGGGAGAGAAGGAGGGAAAGCTGTACAGGCTGCCAGCCCCCTGGGAAGACAAGGATGGAGTAAATCTGAAGCCATGGGTTTATCTGGAGGCTGCCTAGCCTGTGGCACTCAGGGAGTGACGTTCAGTCCCTGTGCCAGCAACGCTCAACTCCAAGCTGGCACAGCCCCAGGCGTATCTATGGTACCTGGGCCTCAGCCTGGGAATCAGGTGTACTTGGCAGGAGACAGGAACACTAGCTCCCCTTTCCCCCACAAGGGGTGCTTGGCTCTCCTCCTCCCCCACCCCAACGGAGAGAGCCATAGCTTGTGTAATGTTTGTTGAAAAGAAGCCATGGAAGTGCCTCTAATTATCACCACGATAATTACAGGTTGGCTCCTTCCACCTAGAGTGTTCAAAAGAGACTTGGGAACCGGAGCGGGAGCGTTGGCTGCCTCAGGCGTAGACTCCCTGGCCAGGCCTGGCTGGGCTATTTCTTGAGAGGATCAAAGGCTCAGGTCTGACCACCTGTCCTCCAATTCCCCCCATCCCACTACATACATCACTGGGGCACAAAATTAGGGCCTCCTGATTGAATGTCCTCTTTTTTTTTTTTTAATTTATTGCTGGAATTACAGGGGTGTGTCACCACACCCAGCACCTGCACACTGTTCATTTCTGTCCTGCCCACCTATACTGCACACATGCTTACGCACCCATGTTCTCCACCAACCTGTTGGCAAATTAAGTCTCTGACCAAGTCCAGAAGGCATTTTGGTTTACTCTGTGTGTGTGTGTGTGTGTGTGTGTGTGTGTGTGTGTGTGTGTGTGTGTGTGTGTGTGTGTGTGTTTGCTGGTACTAGGGCTTGAACTCAGGGCCTCATGCTCTTGCTTAACTTTTTCCACTCAAAGCTGGCAATCTACCATTTAAGTCACATCTTCACTTCTAGCTTTTTTCACTGGATCACTGGAGGCAAGAATCTCTCCAATTTGTCTGACCAGTCCGGCTTTTTACCAGAATTCTCAGATCTCAGTCTCCTGAGTAGCTAGGATTACAGGCAAGAGCCACAGCACCTGGCTCCATTAACTGTTTTTTTTAATTTAGAATCTTCTTGTGTAATCCAGGCCCTTTTTCTTGACACCGCATCCTGAACTATCATCCTCTTTTGTCATTTGCTCCGTTAGACCGTGAATACCTTGAGGGAGGAATCATGGCTTGTGACAGCTGACATCCTCAGCACAGGACTTCGGACAGAGGTCAATGTTTGTGGAATAAGTGCCTCATATCTGTAATCCTAGCTACTCAGGAGGCTGAGCTCTGAGGATCAGCATT